CTGGGAAACTTCAATGTAGCAATTTTATACGAAATTTTCGGTAAGATACATTTATATTTTTTTATGAATCGGTAACAAATTGTGGGTTTCCCAGCGAACACTATAGAAGCCTTTTTGTATTGCCTGCTTGCAGTGAATATCGCTTTAGATATAGGCTACATGAGCTGTACGTCACATCTGTAGTTGTGATATAACCTAGAATTATGTCACTTGTCACTTCGTTACTAAAGTTGGTAAGGCTCTTAGCTAGTAGGGAACTTGACCTTCCCCAGTGGCCTTGGGCTTGGCCCTGCTGCGCACGTCAGGAAGATTCTGTCGTGATTCACTTTAATCACACCCGCCTCGGAGCAACACAAGTATCCGTACTCTAGTATCGCATTTCTGCAGAAAAGAAGCAAATTAAAGTTCTTGGTAAGCTTCGTCTTTAAGCCTGTCCTCTTAAAAAGAACGTCGCTTTTGGCCGTTTGCTCGTATGGCCGAATATGGACGTAATTTGAAAATGGAAAAAAAATTAAAATAAATTTGGGATTTTTTTTTTCAACAACAGTAAGTTAAGGTTCCTCTGATAGGTTAGGTGGGCAGGAAATTCTCATAAAGTTTCAAAACGGTATGAAAAACGTTAATGAAAAGTTTCCTCTTCTAACCTTACCGAGTAAGCCGGACGACTCAAACAGAAAACGGAACAGTACGTCACTTTTGTGAGTCGATTTCATTTCAAATTACGTCCAAATTTGGCCATATCGCGCATACGAGCGAAAAGTGACGTTATTTTTAAGAGGACGGGTTGCATATACAGCAGTTAACCGGCTGGCGCCTGCGTCCCTCGACCAGTCATGTTCAGGCTAAGATGATCGCGCGGACAGCCTCTACCTTACATACACACAGAAATCACATTAACGTCATATACCAATAAACAAATCCACAGGAAACATGATGCGGATTCGAATCTATGCGCTGGGTGATCCCAGATCCCAATGATCCCATTACAACGGAAAGCGTCTGCAGCAGTTTAGCTTTGAGTTGCCATACTGAATTGTCCTGGACGTGAACATCCAAAATCGAAAGGTCCTGATACTATACAACCTTCATAACCATATTTTTTCCACCTGGGTGGAATAAAACGTTCACGACTAATATATCCCGCACTCAAATATCCAGGAACTGGATTAGTCAAACGTTTATACAACGACATACAAAACTGTACATGGTTTCTCAATATTTGGTGGCTTTGTTTACATTTATTAAACAATTTATGAGCTCCAAAAACATTGCGAGGCTTCGTTATTACAATAATAACATTTGATTGCGAGGTTGTGGTGCCCGTAAACTGTTTCGTGAATGTAAACAAAGCCGCCAAATATTGATAAAAGTTCAGTAGTTTCGCAAGTAGTTACATAGTAGTAGTAGTAGTAGTTACATAGTAGTAGTAGTAGTTACATAGTAGTAGTAGCTTGATGAATCCTGGCCCAGGACAGAAATGTCCCAAAGGTGAAACGTCCAGAACTGAAAATGTCTTCTGGGTTATTATTAACCCATGGAACGGCCTACCTGTCGAAGCCGTAACTGCCAAAACTGCGTTGGGTTTTAAAATATACATAGAAAAGATCATCAAGGCAAATGGGGGACATTCGACAAGCCGCCGGTTTCCTGTCCTCGTCGAGGCCACTAGGGTTCGTGGCCCTCAGGTAAATCAGGTAACTGCTGCCAACATTTCAGTGGCGCGATATCAACAATTACATCGGCCGTTACAGTCTAACATGGAGAACTACACAATTTATTGGGACACCTGTTATCTGGTAGTGCTTGTCGAGGCGCTGTAAGTACTAACCTGTGGAGACAACATACCTTGCTGGCGCGGGTTGAGTACAACTAACCAGAGAACAAACATCTAAGCTATTTACACACATCACGTGGCCGGTACTTTTACACTCACACACCCGTATGTTTACTCACTCCTCTTCACATACCAACGCAATACACAAACACGAACTCTCTTAAAAAAAAATCTTTGAATGATAACAAGGAATCAAAACACCATTAAACATTCTCAATGCTTTCCAAGGTTACTTACTGCCCACACGTGTTGGTAGCCGTCCTGTGACTGGCTCAGAGGCTCTGGGGATGACCCGTCTCGTGTCCTCATTGGCTGAGGAGAAATACTGCCTTCAGCCTTCGAGCTGAGCCATTGGTGAAGGCGAGGGGTGTGCGCGGGAGCAGCCCGGCAACAGCTGGTCTGCAGAATTAATAGTGGACCAGTTTTTGCATCATGTTGTTGGCTTGTCTTCAATTTTATCCATCCAGGCAAATAAGCCATTGATTTTTTTGTTAATATACATCAAACATCGCATCTCAGAAGCGGACTAATGAGCGTCTTAAATAATGTCCCCTAGTGATGGCATCAGCAACATGAGGAAGGGATTAATGAGGTCCCCAATTATATCGTCAGCAGCATGGGGGACGGGGGATTACTGTTCTGTCATCCAGTAATAACGTCAGCATCATGGGGGACGGGGGATTACTGTTCTGTTATCCAGTGATAACGTCAGCAGCATGAGGGGGATTACTGTTCTGTCATCCAGTAATAACGTCAGCAGCATGGGGGGGGGGGGGGAGGATTCTATGTACTAACTCTAACTATAAATCCAACATTATGTTTTGTAACTCATCTTCTCTCAATGTGCTTTTATCTGAATAAACATTTTCATTTTTAATTAATGTTTGTCCCCTCTTGCTATTCCCAGCAGCATACTCAGCATTCCCAGCCACCAACTTCAGGAGAGCATGAGTCAGCTTTGAGTGACGTCGGCACTAAAACCATAAGCTGATCAGTCAGCAATATACTGTGAGAGGTATATCATGCTTATCAGTGTATACTCGTCTAAAATATATTTCTAAGTGGCTCAGTATACAATTAGTATTGGTCTTGACTTGTTAAACCGACATTGGTGCCAGAGGTGAATGTGGTAGCATGAAGAACAAAAGGTAACAAGCTTATATCTTTCATAAGAGCATCGATCGTAGCTTTTACCTAATTTACCTGAGGCCCACTAACACACTGCTACCGACGACGAGGACAGGAAGCTTGTCAAAGGTCATGATTTTTGTTATGATGTCATGATTTTTTGTCATGATTTTTGTCATGATTTGTCATGATTTTTTCACGCTTGACTTTAAAATTCAGCAGTTTTGGCATATACGGCTTCTGTGAGAGAGTCGGTTCCATGGGTTCATAACCCTGGGGGTGAAAAAATTGTTTCTTGTTTTCAGTCCTACATTGTGGCTTGTTGGGCTTGAAACCGTTGCTCCTTGTTTTACGCCTGACCTTTTGAAAAAGTTTTTTCAGTTAATTCCAATTCCATAGACCATTGAGCTAGTAAGCAGGGGACGGATGGCAGGGGCGAGGTTGTAGAAAGCTAGAGTAGGGAACAGGATACAAGTTGGAGGAGGAAGATACAGCTCGGTGGTCCAACCACCGTAGATATGACTGGGTTAATATCCTCAGAATTGTTTAGTATTTTAAAAGTTTCGATGAGATTCGCGGTTTGCAGTGTTGTTAGCCCTGTGGCCCTCAACCGTTTCTGGTATGAAAGTTGACTTAGTTTAGAATAATTTTTGTTGGTCGAAGTTATACTTTTTCAAAGTAGGTATGTTTATCTGTAGATAAAGTCTCCATGCCTGGATACAATAATCAAAGTGTGGGCGCACCCGAGATTGATACAGTTGTATAACTACATTATTTTCTTTAAAGATAAAGATACGCTTGATTGTTCTCAGGGGTTGGTTAATTTATTTACTACAGTTGTGCTACTTTCAGTGAATGATGGATTCAGACTCTAGTCTTCATTCTGCTTCAAGTTAATGTTGATAATTTGGTAGTTGAGACGTGGATTCTTATGCTCCACATGAGAGGGGATTGCATTTTTCGATATTAAAAGGCATTTGCCAATTAATATAGATTTCTTTGCAAGGCCTCTATAATTTTCCCTTCCCACATTACCATAAATCTTAAGTGTCATCTGCAAATTTTACGTGGTTCGTAATATTGTCATCTGTGTCACTGATGTATTTGACGAAAAGTGTTGGTCTCAGAATGCACCCTTGCGGCACCCCGCCCACTGTTAACCCTCGGTCACGTTACTCCCCCCCCCCCTCCCCTCAGCTCTCCTTGAACACTACTTTCCTCTGATGACCAAATTTCAATTCAGAAGACGGAGAAGCGACGACGTTTCGGTCAGTCCTGGACCATTATAAAATCGTGGTCCAAAACGGACCAGGAAACGATTATTATACTTGATAATGGTCCAGGACGACCGAAACGTAGTCGCTTCTCCCTCTTCTGAATTGTGGTTTGGACATCATTTCTTTAGCCACGTTATTGGGCCTCATCGTCTACCTTCCTCTACCCTATGCAATGCCTCGCATTCAGTCACACTACCTCCTTCAGAGTCACCATCCCCGTGAGGGAGACACATTAACCCCTCCTCGTGGATTGTCATCCACTCAACCTCGACCCTGGAGTACATGTTCCACCACCATGTGCGGCAACCCGTCCTCCTAACTGAGCGTTGCATTTTGACGCACATTTTACCAAAGGCAAAAAATTGTACTATAAAATGGCAGCGGCTCGCGACATTTGACATACTGTGTTGGGTCGTGTGGTAGGTTAGGGTAGGGTGCACTTCAGTACGCCAGTTTCTTGACGTTGCGAAACCTTAGCAAGACGGGCTGGTGATCGCCACCTCAACGTAGCGATGCGACAAGGATGAAGTAGTGATAAACTCAATAGTATCTCAATCTGTCAGGTTAATTTTTAAGGAAACGCCCAGATTCTTATTCATTGCAAGATGCCTCTTGCTTAAGGTTGACCATGGCATGGTACCTCTTATCTTGATAACATTGTATATCAGGCTAATCTACTGAGGGATTGATGGTCAATATCTAGAAACGATAATCTAGTCAATTCATATTCTGATGCAGTTCAGGGAAGATTAAAAGTCAAAGTCTTCTGACATTTATTTTTATAAATGTTCCATTTTTAAAATCCTTAAGCTAAAGCTATTTTAAGCGATGATAAAAAGTACTGAACCCAAGCTTACTGAATAAAACTTTAGAATAATAGTGATAAAGTTTGTGTATAAAAACTGAAGTAAAATTTTTTGGTTAACACTTTGTAGTTGTCAAATATGGGTCATTAAATATACTAAGAGACCCGCCAGTTCCGTTTACCCACGCCAGACATAGATGCAGGACAAGATACCCCAGTGGGCGAGCAGGTATAAGAAGACGGAATAAGAAGTAGGGGCAGACAGCATTAAAGACATGTCTAAATCCATCTGACCATATGGTACCGCCATGCAGGTACCGAGCATAAAGTTTCCTACTATAATCATAAACAAGTAATTATAAAAAATCAAGCCCCAAGCCAGGTAGATACTATAGCAAATTCTAAGCAAGAACAAGTAGAAATTGTCAAGTGTACGTTTCCTCTGCAACAAAGTCTCTGCAGAATCTTACGTTAATCATTGATCACATAACACTACATTCCTCCTCCTCCTTATTGGAAGTTTTGTTCTTTTTCGATTCTGGTTTTCTGTTATTTCCGTCGCCCATTAAATGATTGGCCAGAGCTCCCAGTGCAAGAATCCCAACTCCTGCCACACCCACCCCGACGGCCACCTTGCCCATGCTACTAAGTTGTTCATCATCATCCTCCTCCTCCTCCTTCATTCTGCTCATGTTAGTAACTCGAGGATAGTGAGTCGTGGCTGGAGTGGCCTGGAAACCATCCTGGTCTGAGTCATGTATTCTATTACTAATACTCTCTACAACGCGCATCTTTACGCGTGAATGATCACCAGGGTACTCCTCAAGAAGAGTAAAGATACTCATGCACAACTCAAGCAATTCTTCAAGATTTTCTCTTAATTCACCATTTGACATACCAGAGTAATCTGTACGATGAGAATCTATGTTCCTAATGTTGACGAGCTCATTTAACTTGCGATAAAGCAAATCAGTCTGTTTCAGCCCACAAAGTTTCTTTTGAATTGCCCAATGTAAGCTTATATCATAACCATCAGAAGCAAAATTAATAATATAATTTGTTGGTGGGTTATAGGATTTGATAATAGATTGCTGGTGAGATGTAAAATGTGTTTCGAAGGAGTCCTTGGGGTAAAGTGACTGCCAGTAGTAGTCGGGTCTCAGGCGGCCGCCCTGGTACAGACTGCTGGTCACATGTTTCATCACACTCTGCCCTTCCTCCTGCACAGCGTCATGCCACTTAAAAAGTGCCAATTTTCTGTGATGGAAAGAAACAAATTTAGTTTAATTTTCACATTTATGTTAAATTTGCTAACTTATATTGCTTATAGAATGGTAATTTACGAAAATCATAGCAATCATAGTTATAGAGGGGGTGAAACTTTGTGGACAATCTTCCCTTTGGTTATGGAGGCCTTTGTGCACCACAAAGGCCTCCATAACCGAAGGGAAGAATGTCCACAAAGTTTCACCCCCCTCCTCTATAACTAGCAATGACGTACACTAACCTATCAACACTACACTCTGCTGGTACTGATGAACCTGGTCATCTTGTATGGGACCAAAGGTTCCTTCAAACTGAGGAATGTCAAGCATTTATGTTCAGTTGTGTAGCACCAGTTTGATAGATCAAGTTATGTGCCCGAGTGACTTGGATAAAACAGTAAACATTTCGATTAAGCATATACTGTAGTTATTACCTTCCACAACCCCTGGGGATCTTTGTGGGTCTCCAGGTCTGACCTATCTTGAGGTTATCTTGAGATGATTTCGGGGCTTTTTAGTGTCCCCGCGGCCCGGTCCTAGACCAGGCCTCCACCCCCAGGAAGCAGCCCGTGACAGCTGACGGACACCCAGGTACCTATTTTACTGCTAGGTAACAGGGGCATAGGGTGAAAGAAACTCTGCCCACTGTTTCTTGCCGGCGCGCGGGATCGAACCCGGGACCACAGGATTACAGTCCAGCGTGCTGTCCGCTCGGCCGACCGGCTCCCTACCTGGTGTCTGCGACAAGAAACCAAAGTCACAGAGTCTGCATTAAATCAATCCACAGCAGCTAACTCACGTGTACCTATTTACTGTTGGGTGAACAGTGGAATCAGGTGCATTTTGTTTTTGCCTCGGCTGGAATCAAACCCGGGCCCTTTGTACTACGACTCCATTATTGCCCACTGCTGCAGAGTGCCAGCTGTGTTTCATAATCCAGCTGCCGGTCACTTTCTCAACTGTGCTGGAGGCAAATTGTTATGCTTTTTGCGCTACCGCTCACAGGATGGGTATGGGGTGCACAATAAACTAGCTGCCTCCGGGGGCAACAATAAAAAACAAAACAAAAAATCAATCCTGAACATACAGGCACTAAATATCATACTGCAGCACCAGGCCATCAGGGTGTGGAACACCATCGAAATGTTAGAGGATACCTTACCTTGAGGTGCTTCCGGGGCTTAGCGTCCCCGCGGCCCGGTCTTCGACCAGGCCTCCTAGTTGCCGGACTGATCAACCAGGCTGTTGGACGCGGCTGCTCGCAGCCTGACGTATGAGTCACAGCCTGGTTGATCAGGTATCCTTTGGAGGTGCTTATCCAGTTCTCTCTTGAACACTGTGAGGGGTCGGCCAGTTATGCCCCTTATGTGTAGTGGAAGCGTGTTGAACAGTCTCGGGCCTCTGATGTTGATAGAATTCTCTCTCAGAGTACTTGTTGCACCTCTGCTCTTAAAGGGGGTATTCTGCACATCCTGCCATGTCTTCTGGTCTCATGTGATGTTATTTCTGTGTGCAGGTTTGGGACCAGCCCCTCTAATATTTTCCACGTGTAAATTATTATGTATCTCTCCCGCCTGCGCTCAAGGGAGTACAGATTTAGGCTCTTTAGTCGGTCCCAATAGTTTAGGTGTTTTACTGAGTGGATTCTAGCAGTAAAGAATCTCTGCACGCTCTCCAGGTCAGCAATTTCTCCAGCTTTGAAAGGGGCTGTCATTGTGCAGCAGTACTCCACTCTAGAGAGCACAAGCATTTTGAAAAGTGTCATCATCGGTATAACATCTCTAGTGTGAAAAGTTCTTGTTATCCAACCTGTCATTTTTCTTGCAGTTGTGACGGCTACTTTATTGTGTTCTTTAAAGGTAAGGTCTTCCGACATGAGTACACCCAGATCCTTTACATTGCCTTTCCGTTCTATGTTATAATTTGCCTGATGACCCAATGTTAGAAAGATTGCTCCAAGATGAGACGCCCCGCTCCCACAGCTGGTGGCCCAAGAGCCGCGATTTACTAGATGCAAACCCCGCCCCACAGTACATAATTCCTAGATGATATACTGAGCCACTACCAGAATACTCACATTGTAAACTTTGTGATAAGCCTTTAATGCATTCACTAGAACACTATATTGTTGAATGTGAAGCCATAAAGGACTTTAGACCTGGCCTCTTGTACCACCAACTGTGTAACTATTTTATTGACTCAGGTGTTCTGGACGACATCCTAACAATTTATCCAAAATTTGCTTGTCCATTTTAAAGAATGAAGAACAATTTTTATTTATATTACTTCTAAGCTGCATCACTTATGAACCCATCCCTGCCCTTGTGTGGCAGTGCACAATAGAAAGTTGTTTTCACATATCCATACATTAAAAACATTGATTGTAACCATGATATATATGTGCTTCCACCTACAGTTTAGACCTATTGTCTTATATGAGACCCTCTGTCCTGCGTGACAGTGAATACCAGCATTATTCTCACTTTACTAAGACTTAATCGAAATCCTCAGATTCGGCAAAATTGTAATTAATTTTGTCAATAAAGATGTTAATAATAATAACTAGGAAGTGATGTGGTGGAGGCTGACTCCACACACAGTTTCAAATGTAGATATGATAGACTGCCTATCACATGCCTCTGATAACTAACCATCCTGTGTGATGAGGATTTTTTAGCATCATCTAATTAGTTTTTTGACACACTGTACTCCACTTCATATAGCCTAGGGTAGCTGCACTAATGCAGATGTACCTCATGTATTAATACAAAAAAAAAAGCCCAGTAGGCTCAGGAATTTATTGATTGACGGCTGAGTGGGAGCAAAAAGTCAAAGCTCAACCCCCGCAAGCACAACTAAGTGTGTACACATACCGGGCTCTCACAGCCAGCCTGCGAGTGGTGGTGAGACAGGTACAGTACCCGACGGACACATAGCGGGCTCAGGAGCAAACACACATATATTTCCAAACCTTTTTCTGCACTTCCATTAGGCGCTGTTTGCATATAAACTGAAACTGATGTCATTACGTCCCCATCCACACAAGGAACATGTACAATCTTAGAGTAACGGTGGGTAGAAATACATACCTGCTTGCACCAAACATAGCAGACGTCCTGATGGAAGTGGCTTCCTGATGGGAGTGGCAACTGGCCAACAGCGGGGGCGCCACATCAGCGCCACCACGATTTCATCTGAAAAATTCTGATCATCCAGCAATGAGTGAGCAAACTAACTTTAACATAAATGATGGAAAACTATAGCATAATTCTTAGTAACAGTCAAACGATTATAGAAAGATTAAAATAAGAACAAATAACTTTGAAAATAATTATACATCAAATAAGGAGGAAAACGAATAAGAGGGATACTATACTAAAATTACAAAATAGTTTTAATAATACATTTACATACATACAATAGTTTTAACACACATTCACGTGTGTGTGTATGAGTAATCTCACTCATTCTTAGGATTTAGGGTGGATATGCTTTATATCACTACCAGGAGAGTACATGGACTCACGAAACCTACTACAGCAAACTACTCTCCATTTAAGTCCCCTTGTTCTAATTTTTTTGTTAATTTGAACATTGCTTACTACCTACTTTGTCAATTATCATTAAACTCTTTTATTTTATCATGTCCTTTTTATTCAGTGCAGCTCTGACTTTCCTCGTAGCTCTGTCCCATCAGCTTAGGAACAAATCTCGTTGCATATATATATAATTTTTCTAGTTTTTATTTTTTTATTTCATCTATAAGAATTCTACGTCAAAGCTGCATACTCATGATTGACTCTTATGTATGTTGTTGGGTCGGCAGCCTCCTCCCGTACAGTCAATAGTTTCCTCAATTGATTAAAGATACTCTTATATAATATTTACCAGCTTTCTTCGCGGTATAAAGAGATTTAGGCTTTTAAAACAAGGTAATAACATTTATTATTGCATATAAATGTTTGATTTTAATATTCTTAAATATATAGTTAACTAATTTATACATTCATGATTAAAAAGATAATTGGTCAAGAGTACTCTATATTATTCATACTCAAAATTTAAGCTGTCATCGGAAAAAATAAACAACTCATAATAACAATGAAAAATCTATCGTGTTAATGCCTGGTGTAAAGACCGTTGATCAGTTGCGCTAGGTACGAGCATCCGTCGCCGGTGTAAATGAAAACTTCCGTTATTTATATACATATATATATATATATATATATATATATATATATATATATATATATATATATATATATATATATATATATATATATATATATATATATATATATATGTCGTACCTAGTAGCCATAACGCACTTCTCAGCCTACTATGCAAGGCCCGATTTGCCTAATAAGCCAAGTTTTCATGAATTAATTGTTTTCGACTACCTAACCTACCTAACCTAACCTAACCTAACCTAACTTTTTCGGCTACCTAACCTAACCTATAAAGATAGGTTAGGTTAGGTAGGGTTGGTTAGGTTCGGTCATACATCTACGTTAATTTTAACTCCAATAAAAAAAATTGACCTCATACATAATGAAATGGGTAGCTTTATCATTTCACAAGAAAAAAATTTGAGAAAATATATTAATTCAGGAGAACTTGGCTTATTAGGCAAATCGGGCCTTGCATAGTAGGCCGAGAAGTGCGTTCTGGCTACTAGGTACGACATATATATATATATATATATATATATATATATATATATATATATATATATATATATATATATATATATATATATATATATATATATATATATATATATATATACACACACACACACACACACACACACATCAGTTACAGCACCCGCTCCTGGGCCAAGTAAGTCCACTACGGGCTCACCATAGCCCGTGCTACTTGCAACTTTTTGTTCCGAGTAGCTGAATCGCAAACAACAACACAGTCTATAGGTTCATGGTGACAACGCTTGCTATCAACTTGGTTCTCCATTGCGAGGCTTCGTGGTGGAACCGTGTATGAATACTATAGATACGCCTCTGTTTCTCCTCCCTCAGCTGCCATGACATCTGTTGATAAGGCGACAAGGTGGCGCCCGTAATTGATTACATTACGCTGCATTCTTCCTTGTTGCTTGATGTTCTGTTCCTGTTGGGCTCTTCCTTCTTGTCTTGACTTCCATTTGATAAATGATTGGCCAGAGCTCCCAGGGCGAGTATGCCAGCCCCGGCCACACCCACCCCGATGGCCACCTTGCTCAGTGAACTGAGCCCTTCCTCCTCCTCCTCCTCCTGTGTACCAACACTGGTCCTAATTGAGGCGGGTCGTGTTGCGGACATGGCCATCCCTCGATACAGCCGGTCATTTGTGCTACTCGGGGCCATCCCTCGGTACAGCCGGTCATTTGTGCTACTCGGGGCCATCCCTCGGTACAGCCGGTCATTCGTGCTACTCGGGGCCACCATTGGGTACAGCCGGTCATTTGTGCTACTCGGGGCCACTATTGGGTACAGCCGGTCATTCGTGCTGCTCGGAGTCATCCCTCGGTTCGTCTGTTCGTCTTTGTTCTCTAACTCCTTTAATATAGTTATAAAACTGTTTTTAACGTCATTCTTGACACTCGTAAGATTACCGTAAGGTATACGTTCCTGCAGAATATTCAAGATATCAATGCATAGTTTCCACAGCTCATTTATTTTGTCGGTTGCATCACTAACTGACATGTCATCGTCTGTGTTGGGGTGAGTAACGTTGTTCCTCATTTTGGCAACCTTTTTCAACTTTTTGTAAAGTTCGTCTGACTTTTTTAGCCCGCAAAATTTCTTTAGAACTTTCCAATGCAAACTTACGTCAAATGTTTTGGCAGCATTCTTGATATCATAATCATTCGGTTGGTAATCAGATTTCAATTGTGTTTGCTGAATGGAATAGAAATACTTGGTGAAGGTCTGGTTGTTGTTGTTGTTGCCATAAAGGTCGTGCCAGTAGCGGTCAGGCCGGCGGGTGCCGCCTTGGTACAGTCTGATAGTCACTTCGTACATGACTTTCCGCCCTTCCGTTTGTACCAAGTGGTTTAGCGCCGATTTTCTGTGACGAAAAGAAAAATCAATATTTTAAAAACGTTGAGTTGTAAAATGGTTACATTTAGCATATATTAACCAGGTTATGGTACATCTCATATGTTAATGAGATTATTCGAGCCCAAGCCATGAACTAAGAACGCACGCTGGTGATAGCACCAGGAGCACCATCTGCTGGTGAGTACCAGAAATCATTAGGACTCTCGCTAGTTAGAAAGAGAATAAAACAACTAAATATAAATTATCTACAAAGGCTTAAAGTGACGGAAATAATAAAACTACAGTCTTACAAGTACTTAACAGTTTAACAACAGGTATACAAGTAAGGTAATAGAAATATGAGCCCAAGCTGCAACCCATCCTCCGAATTGACAGTACGTTTTAATACTAGGTGTAATAAGTACAATTCTTGACTGTCATACATAGTACATAAATGCACTTATGGGGCTGTTACATTTACCTCCCCATTTTTGGAGGACGCGCTGCAATATAAAACACTAAACAACGAATTCAAATTGATTATGTTCAAATCTTTAAAATAAATAGATAAATGGTGGTTCAGAATCTGAACAGAAGCTATGTGATACAAGTTACATCATATAGGCAAACAACTGGAAAGCTTCAAACATTTGTAATTGTTGAATAAATATTAGGGAATATTTGAAAAAATATAATAACTATCTCAGAAGCTGATAGGCTCAGTTTCCTTTGTTATTTTTTTTTCTTATGGATGCAATTACCTTGCTTCTTGTTATTGTTGCCGCCGTGGACGGGTAGTTTAGTGAGCACCCCATACTCATCCTGTGAGTAGTAACGCAAAAATGATCAGTGGGCATAAATGATCTTAATAAGACTAAAGCACCTTCAAAGGATACCTGATCAACCAGGCTGTGACTCCTACGTCAGGCTGCGAGCAGCCGCGTCCAACAGCCTGGTTGACGAGTCCAGCAACGAGGAGGCCTGGTCGACGACCGGGCCGCGGGGTCGCTGAGCCCCAAAATCACCTCAAGGTAAGGTAAGGTAACCCATTATATGTAATCTAAACCTTCCTGCCATCGCCTTCATGATGTGCCTGGTGTCCATAAAAAGGTAATTCAACTAAACCAAACTAACCTTTGATTCATCATGAGTAACGTTGTGTTCTATGCAGGAAGGCGACGGTGACCCTTGGCGGCGCTGGCTGCCTCTGCTCTACTCTACCTGGCTGGCTTCCCTTGATATGGGCTCGCCTCATGTGCACGTCTCTGTAGGCTGTTGCCATAGCGCACATGTCCATAAGGTCCATGAGAGGTACTCTAGTAACGGCTACTACTGCCCTACTCGCTATAGCTATTTAGCAATCTTTACAGCCAATAAGCACCGATCCACAGCGCTATCACAGTTCGTGGAAGACCTCGTGGAAGACCTTGTGACATATCAGCGGTAGATTGTAGAGAACACATTGTTCTTGATTCACAGGTTGATAAAGCAATTTTGTTACGCTGATATAGTTACAGTATAATGATAATTAAAACAAACTTGTCATAGGTTTTGCTGATTTACTTCAATTTCATTTAATATGCAAAGGTCCGTAGGTGTTTCGTATTTAATATATAATTAAGTATACGGTTACCGAGAAGGTAACACTACGTCTTCGTTCACTGTTGTGTTATTTAGATAAATAAATTTTTGTGAAGAAAAGAAATATGACTGGCAAGTCAGCCGCCCGACCTTACCAATCCTAGAAATATCCAGTTCAGCTTACACAATGACTGGAAATGTGGCATTCACATCATAAGGTTATTTTAAGAAGAGTATTCAATGCCTTCTTTGTTATGCTCATTAACATAGTTCTGTATCTCTTTCCAGTTAATCACTTATCAAAATTCTACGCTGTTAAAAGTTATAGTTTTGATTATAAAATTTTCTATGGCCTATATTCTTGCAATGGTTGGTTCGCCTCCAGAGGATGTGTGGTATATAATAGGCATATTCATGAAGACTCTAGACTGTGCAACTATGAAAATAAGGCGCCAAGCCTGAAATAAAGTATTAATTATAACCGCTCAAGGCCAGATGCGTCCACAAAATAATAGACTATTTGGGCCGCACTCCAGCACCCATCATGAGGCAGCACGTATTTCCCAGATATTCCCCCTTTCCCCTAGAGTGCTTGGGGGGGGGGGGGGGTGCGTCCCCTCCTGACGTGGGAGGAAGGTGCGTCCGCTCCTGACGTGGGAGGAAGGTGCGTCCGCTCCTGACGTGGGAGGAAGGTGCGTCCGCTCCTGACGTGGGAGGAAGGTGCGTCCGCTCCTGACGTGGGAGGAAGGTGCGTCCGCTCCTGACGTGGAAGGTGCGTCCGCTCCTGACGTGGGAGGAAGGTGCGTCCGCTCCTGATAATCAGCAGTTATCTAAAGTTTCCTGGTAGAGCTTCACAAATCGTGGGGGGGTGGATACCACAGTGAGTAACTTGCAAGGACTCAGCCTGCGCTGTATCACACCTGGCGCCTAGCTGGCCTGTGGTTGTGTGGTGAGACAGCTCAGTACTTATAGTAACTATTTTGTCGAAAATTCCAACATAGTGATTGGTCACGAGAAGATGAATTTTATATTATTAAATTAGGACAAAACAGGATTTTTTGTAACCGCAATAAAAATAAGACAATAAATATAAGACCTAACCATTCTAGGCCTAATATTTCAGGAGGATGGGTGCGAAGGCAGTAACGATCTTGTAACGACAAGATGGTGATTTCAGCATACAAATTCTGGGTAGGGGACAAATGAAAGGCACCAGAGCTGAGGCGCAACCCAGTATGGTACTGGCAGCAAGACGACGAAGGGTCAAAGGAGAGACAGAGGAGTAGGCTGTGTAGCCAAAATCCAGGTCAGACAGCCCGAGAGCGGAGTGCACATATAAGAGTGCGAGTCAATGAACTCTTCAGATTGCAGTAGCAGGAGCCACCCACATCTTCACAGACGGATCGGTTGACACAGAATATGAGAGTGCTGGCGCTGCTCTTTGCACGGCCAGCGTACAGGCATACTGGAGACTGGGAGGACTAGTATCATCAACCCAAACTGAGTTGTTTGCCATACAACAGGCATTCGCATATGTGATTGCACAAAACATTCAAAATGCAATCATACACACAGACTCAAAAGCTGCACTTCAAATACTAGGACAAAAACAGTGGAAAGATAACGTGGAAATAATTACCACCATTTTGTATCTTGGAGCAGTCGCTTAAGGCAAAGGACTCAACATAACCTTAAACTGGATCCCATCCCATGTTGAAATCCCATTAAATGAGAAAGCTGATGAAATTGCTAAATTGGCAACTCGTCATCCAGTGATACATAAACAATTCAACCCAGCCTAGAGAACATAAAAAACATCATCACCAAAAAACTCTCACACCTCAACAAAGCCTACCTACACCAGAGAATAGCTGAAGGTTCGCCCTCTGCAACATGGTATCTTCAGGCAACCAAATTAGAAAGGTTAAATATCCCAAAAGGAATCCACAGGGAAATAGCAGTTAGGTTATATAAACTACGTCTAGGTTACAGATGCAACTGGGAGATTGGTGAACCCCGACAGAGAATGCATCTTCTGCCAAACTATCACAGAGCAACCCGTTCTTGCACTTGCTTATAGTCAATATTGGCTTATTTAATAGTGCATATGTGACATACTAATTTATTGTGAATATATTAGTTTACCTTGAAAAGCTTCATAGAAAACACCGACCTCACCTAACCTTCTTAGTATGTTAAGATAAGCATCTTATTGCTTCTTAATTACAATTATTACTTAACCTATACCGTTGATAGGTTAAGTAATAATTGTAAATAAGAAGCAATAAGATGCTTATCTTAACATACTTAGAAGGTTAGGTGAGGTCGGTGTTTTCTATGAAGCTTTTCAATGTAAACTAAAATATTCACAATCAATTAATATGTCACATATGCACTTATTAAATAAGCCAATATTGACCATAAGCAAGTGTGAGAACGGGTTGGAAAAGCCATTACTTCACTATCTTCTGGAATGTGAAACAACCAACGACCTTAGAAGAGCTTTAAGAGTTCCTGAATCTTGCAGTGGCCACCCTGAAGCCATCAACACAGCCACTCTCCTGGTCAACAAAGGTGTCCAGCAGTTGGACACCCTCATAAAGACTGTGAAGCAGTATCCTCCCCCGCGATAACAGCTTGACGATTAAATGCAACCTCAGAATACTGAAAAAAAAAAATTGTACCTCTTACGGGCTATTCATGCCCGTGCCATCTCTTGGGTGGCTTAATCTTTATCAATCAATCAATCAATCAACTCTTCAGGAAGTATGGGACAAGACTGGACGTAGTGTAAGGGGCATTAGAGCGTTCGACTCTGAGGTAAGAGATGAGATGACCAAGACAAACGAGGGTCAAAGATCAACACCAAGAGGAACACTTGTGGCCACAGATCGAAGAGCGGAAGAAAGGGAGCTGATGGCGGTGTCATCACAGGGGTTATATGGAATCACAGGCGATTCCATATAACCCCTGTGGGTGAAAAACATCTCCTGTTTTTAGTCCAACATTGTGGCTTGTTGAGCTTGACACTGTTGATTCTTGTTTGTGTTCTATCTGACCTTTTGAAGAAGCTGTCTGGATCAATATTCTCCAAATTATTCAGTGATTTAAAGGTTTCGATGAGATCCGTCCTGTCATGCCTGGTTTGTAGTGTTGTTAGCCTTGTGGCCCTCAACCGTTCCTGGCATGAGAGTTGACTTTGTCCTGGAATGATTTGTATCTTCCGGTGTTGAATTTCTCCAGTGAAGCTGTCTTTGTGAAAATGAGGTTTCCATGCTTGGATACAATACTCATAGTGAGGACTCGCCAGATTTATACAGTTTAATAACTAAGTTTCTTTTCCATAAAATCGAAGGTAGGCTTGATTATTCCCAGGGTTTGGTTAGGTTAGGTATTGTAGCATAGCAGTAATGGTGCTTTGTTGTGGGTGTAGGTGAACATTGCATTACTGCTGCTATACGACACTCTTATTCTTACAATGTGCTTACTGAAGTTACTGCAAACCTTGCAACAAACCTCTCCCTTCCTATCTTTGTAAATAACCAAAATATCTGTATTCTAGGGTAAAGAAACTGCAAATATCTGGAAATCTTCCATATATTTTATTACTTTTTCTACACAAATAATTGAACAAATGGGAAAATATTGCTATGGTGATATAAAATCTTGCTAGAGAAATAATGATCACATCCAAGGAGTCTCTTTGAATATATAGCTATACCTAATCTCTATTTACTTTGCTTAATTTTTAATAAAAACAGAAAAGGAATGACTTTAAAATTCTGGCATAAACAGACATGCCACAAAGCTGAAATGGTACCTTTCACAGCTGCCAGAACTTTGGTGTGTGATAAATACACTCATCTAGCAGCTTAAATCTTTTAACAAAACTGTTGAGAATGAGTCTTAGTAGTATAACTGTATATAGATTGAACTTTGTTTTATTTATAATTAGTTACATCAGAGGTCAAGCTGCCAGCCAAGGAATGTTTAATAAGTAAGGGAGACTATATGGGAATAGTTTGCTGCACAAGATAACTGCAAAATGGAACACTAGACATTACTGTATTCTGTTCTTAGATTGACAACAGACAAGCGGTACAAGCATTATGTAACCATACATGTAGAGACATATATTTTAGTCCCCGTGAATAAGGTCATGGAAGTAAAAGTTAAAGTGAGAGTTGCTGTACGAAGCTTACAACGAAAAAGAAATAGTAATTAGTTACAGTTGATTGACAGTTGAGAGGCGGGCCGAAAGAGCAGAGCTCAACCCAACCCAAGCACAACTAGGTGAATACTGTATATGAAAAAATTAAGAACTGAGAAAAAGAGCTTCAAAGTAAGACAAAAATTTAATGGTCTTTAATTGTGTAATTAGCAGCAAATGTTTCATTGCAAATATATTTTACAAAAATTAAGTGATCTACAATGTAATGGGGGGGGGGATCATAAAAATACAACTACAATGTATTTGTATGCCAAAATTACTGCATAAAATAGGATCTATTACTGTAGCATACTTGAGTATTACATTATAGATTTTAATCTTAGATAATATAAATTGCACCAATTCTGAATAAGAATAAATCACATTTAAAAAATTAGTAATGGCTAACTTCACCAGGGAGCAAATATTGCTGGCTTTAAAGTGAAGAAATTTATTAGACTCTTTGGATGCAACCTCTTTTAGTAATATGTTTTGAGAATCAGGTACTGTACTGTACTATAAATGCTTATTTAACCCCTTGACTGCTGGCTGTTACATTTGACTATTCAGAAAACTACATAATCCTCCTTTACTGTGACATTCAACGTTAATTGACCTTCATAGAAAAATACATTTGCATATCGCACTGCAACATTTGCCAATGTTACAGAAACTTCAAAATGCTTCCTCGCACCGCAGCACCAAACTGTAGGCTGATGACAATGTTGAATCCAAATGTAAAGATTATACTATATTTTAACATGCCATTCTTGTTTATTGTTTTTATATCTAAATACCGTACAGTTTTGAAATTCTAATGGTAGATAAAGAACATTGTTTTCATGAGAAGTGTAATGAAGATTAAAATAATTTATTTCAGATAAATAATATTTTTTTTATCTAAAATGCACTTAATTTAATGTAGTTTAAAGACATTTATTATTAACTATTTTGGCTTAGTACCGAGTCTGTTGGAGCATTTATTCTTTCACTTAATTTGTTTTTATAAAAACTTTTATTTTAGAAGCTTTAAATACATTATGGATTCACAAATCTTCTCGCAGAAACAGTGCACTAAATGTAATTACACAGTCAAAGGATTAAAATGTACATAAATATTATTTTCTATCATGAGGTTATGGAGTAAAAAAATGTTAAATGTTAGATGTGCATAACCTTAACTACCAACACGTGCTTTATTTGTTAAAATCAAAACAATCTCAGAATCAATCATACTGTTGATAAGCACTGTGTACAGGGAAACATAATATGGTTTCATATACACTGTAATTCACACTACTGTACAATACGGTACATCAAAATATTATCACATTCCAGACCTTGAAGACATAATACAAGATTACCGAAGACTACCTTAGTCCTCACACTTCTCCAGCCACTATATGAGAATTTTCCAATTCAATTTATTACAATTTGTTAATATGCACCTTGATATACTGCAGTATTTCTAAATAGCTGTGCCATTTAGGGGCTAAGTTGCATTGACATAATTGGGATTTTACAGTGTACAATTCTGAAGACAAAACATATTAAATTTTATAAGCTTTTCATGGTATTTTTGTAGCATGTAACTGTGCGATTCTATCATTGAGCACAGAAGTAGTATAACATTTAACATAGAGCAGTTCAGGTGCTTTGATGCTTGTAAGGGAAAGATGGTTTAATATTTAAAACATTTAAACACTGTCAATAATAAAAAGTAAATGAAAAGCTGTGTACCAAATGAATTTATTAATACTGCCCTGAAATTAATAAAAATGGAATGCTTGAAACCTCTATATTATATACATCCTATGTTATTTGGAAATTGTTCATAATATGTGATAGACAGTTTTAAAATAATTATCAAATTCAGTTAAAGGCATGAAATGAAATAATTCTCTTTAGTTTTACTATTCAGACTTTTCTTAAAAAATATAATTATGTGCTGAAATCGACTGTTAACATCAGTACATAAATATCTATATCACCTTAATAATAATAATAGAGAGGCCATAAAGATCATAGCTGGCATACGTTAAGAGTAATTCACTCATCACAGCTGGCGTCTTACAATCTTAACCCTACACTGCTCCAATTGCTATTTGTAATTTCCATGTGCGATTATTCTCCATTTGATTTGTTAACTATTTTGAAACAAGCGCACCTTTATGTAGTACCTTTAAGTGGCTGTACAGTTTGAGGGTTAAAGAAAATTGTCATATCATACCACATAACCTGCTATATCTAATTAATATATTGGGTCTCTTTGTTTACATTCCAGTCTTAATCAAAGAAATTCAAGCACGACAGTTGCCATTTGTTGAAAAGTTACTCTGGTGTTAAACAAACAGTCCAGTATATTTTCCTTATGACTATAAAGCACCTATTATGTGACTATTTTGGTAATAAACTTTGTTTATTTGTATACTGTATTTTTTTTATTAAAGTATCATATTTTGTATTACTGTATACTGTTTGGTAATTAAAAAGTTTAAAAAAATTAAAAATATTTATCAACATATTTTTGACTGCCACATACTGTTTGAACATCATTTTGTCTTTCTAAAATTATACCATATAACCAAGTTTGAGATACACTGGTGTTGATATTTCATGACCAGACCCACCTCAGTCAGCCAGATACATTATCACAACCAGTCACACCCAGTCAGCCAGATACATTAACTTTCAAGGTTTAAATTGCAAATTCTTTCCTAATTTTATTTAATTAAATTTTGCTATGATAGTTTAAATTATTTCCAACCTATATTTCACAATATAAATTTTCTGTGCACTATCATTGACAGTTATAATTTTAGTTAAAAAAAACTTTGTTATAGTAAATGTTCATAGAACACAGCTGCACAATAATTTTAACCTAGTTGCAATGCATCTGAAAAATACATGTACAAAGAGATCTTCATTTAATCCTTTCACGTTCAAAGTTTTTAGAATCATTAAATAAGATTTTGTGTGCCAGAAAACCAAAATGTATTGCCTCACCTTTTAAAGAAAGCAAAATATCCACTGGATATAAATCACAGACTATCACCATCTCTTCTGCTACACTTACTATAATACAGCAAGATATAGTACTGCATATTAATAAATCACATCTCTGTTGAACAATGGTATTTCAAATTTTGCTTTTTCAACATGAATAGAGATTTTATCTTAAAGTTCAGAACCTTTGAAATTACCGCATGAAGGAAAATCTGGTGGGGCCTGAGGAATTTCATGATCTTCTCCAACTTTAAAGACCAAGTTCATTCCCGCAACAGAGTGAAATATTAGGTGACAGTGCAGCAACCAGTATCCTGCAGGAGGAAAAAATTATTTGTAAAAATAGTATTGCAAACCAATTATAGGTATAGGTTAAGTAATAATTGTAATTACGAAGCAATAAGATGCTTTTCTTAACATACTAAGAAGGTTAGGTAAGGTAGGTGTTTTCTATGAAGCTTTTCAAAGTAAACTAAAATATTCACAATAAATTAGTATGTCACATATGCACGTATTTAATAAGTCAATATTGACTATAAGAAAGTGCGGGAACGGGTTGTACCATGACTAGTGTGGTAATATAGTAATGACTAAAATTAAAAGCATAAAATATAGTGTGCATTGTATGTATAGTTTCATGAGCTAAAGCATGATGCTGATAACAAAGTTAAGGCATTTTCTACTCACATCCCTATCACTTGATGCATTCTACACACTGCTATTGCCAACTAGTTACAATATAATATTTAATTGTACTCACCACCCAAAATATTTTCTCAACACTAATTATTAGCTCTGAAATTACTTTTTTAACGCAAAACTTGACAAGTTTCGATCATGTGATGAGGTAATTAGTACTGCCTCATATAATGAGCAAAGGCTGGGGTAATAAGCACACAATAGAAAATGAAAAAGGATATAAATTGAATAAGTTTAGATTTGGGAATGACCTGGATAAATACTGGCTGAAACAGGGTGGTTGATCGATGAAACAAATTACTGAGCAACATAATAAACATGGAACCACTCAATTGTTTCAAGTATAGGTAAGCCATATATATGGATGAATTTGGGTGGGTATAAATAAGAGCTGCCTCATATGGGCCAACAGGCCTTCTGCAATTTCCTTAATTCTTCTCTTTATGTAATGAGCACAGACTCGGGTAATACGCATGGGCTGGTGTAATGAACATAGGGATGTCATTGTTGTATTTGCATTGTGTGTAATATTTGTGTCTATGGTGCTTGTATGCACATTTTACAATCAGATAAAGTAAACAAATATTGAATATTACCTGGATTAGTTGCATGAAATCTTACAATTGTGTAGCCTCCATCAGCCATGGTGACTGTGTCCTTGTAAACTGGATGGTCAAAGTTTCTTACCAACTGACCTTTCTGGTCCATTTCCATCACCTGCCAAGTGCACACACAAGAGAAAAGTCATGAAGACAAAAATCATATTAGAATCATGTTCTGCATTATATATATTGTGTTTGTCTTTCTGGTATGAACATTTCATTCATTTCTGTTTTGAGAAGTAAAATATATACACTGTTGTAGAAAACTGTATATCTCTTACTCATCACTGTATACCCCTTACCCATCACTGTAGATCCCTTATATATTACTATATATCCATTATGCTAACAGTAAACCTCTTACGATCACTATAACCTTTACCCATTACTGTTTGACCCTTACACATCATTGTAAGATCCCTTACTCATCATTGTAAACCCCTAATCATACCTGTAAACCCCTTATCCATCACTGTAAACCCCTGTATAGTATTGTATTTTGTTCTTATGTGTACTTGCTGGCATTTTATGTTTATTAATCTACTTGCATATAAAACCAGTGTTGAATGTAATGAAACCCCATTTTCTGGATGAGTCCTGGAGGTTCCTCTGAGCTATCCAGGCTGATTGGGATAGTCCTAACTTTCTGGCATCAGTCAATGTGGGTGGAGTTCTAGACCTACCAGGGACCACGGCCAGAACCTGGCACCCCTCAGAGAGGCATGAGGAGCAATAGCCTGTAGAAATGCTCATGTGATTGTGGAGCATCCCAGGGGTTCAGACGGGACAAGTCCAGAATAAACCGCAGGTCCGCACAGTCCCACTTCGGAACTGGAAATAGGCGGGAAACCCACCTGAGGGACCACGCCCAAGCGCTCCCACTCCAAGACAACCTGACAGAGCGCAGGAGGTCTGCCCTGCCAGCCTGAACCCCCTGAAGGGGGATAAGCCACCCAACGCCACTGAAGGCTGCGAGAAACGACCCGAAAAGCCCACGAATTGTGGGACCAAGATTGAGCGAACAGAGCAAGCCTCCCCCCCATCGCCCCGTCAATAGGACAAGCCGCAAAAGGGCCGATGCCCCATATGAGAACCCAACCCGTTCTCGCAAATTTAATAAGTCAATATTGACTTATTAAATATGTGCATAGGTGACATACTTAACATAATAGTTTCCCTTGAAAAGCTTCATAGAAAACACCGACCTTACCTAACCTACTTAGTATGTTAAGATAAGCATCTTATTGCTTCGTAATTACAATTATTACCTAACCTATACCTATAATAGGTTAAGTAACAATTGTAATTACGAAGCTATAAGATGCTTATTTTAACATACTAAGTAGGTTAGGTAAGGTCGGTGTTTTCTATGAAGCTTTTCAAGGGAAACTATTATGTTTAGTATGTCACCTATGCACGCAAATAATAAGTCAATATTGACTTATTAAATTTGCGAGAACGGGTTGGAGAACCCAACCTGTGCACAGAGCGAGTACTGCACCGACCAAGCGCAGCCAGGACCAAAGGCGGCACTGGCTCCAAAACTGGCACCTGTGGCCCACCTCGACGAGTGGAACCGCGGGCCCTGGCACAACCCCTCTGGAAGAAACCCACCCAAGACCCCCCCCCCCCCCCGGCAGCTGGAGGAAGCCGCTTGCATATATTGTTCGACCTCAGAAGCGGTAAATAATAAAGGACAAAGACAATCTAGGAGCAAGGGCCCAAGCGGATTCTAAGGAGTAGGCGAGCACCACCTGTCGACACGCGAGTTGCGCAGCGAAAAACTGCAACAGCGCATTCCGCAGAATCGGTGCAAACAGCTTCAAAAGCATGACGCACGAGCAGCCGAAGCCAAGGCGCTAGACCCAGGAACAGCCCCAAGCACCTCTACATCCTCCATAAGCCAAATGGAAGACAGCTCAAGGAGAGAAAAGAAACGCAGGTCCAAAGCCAACGAGCCCCGAGTGTGCAAGTCCTCAGCCACAAGCGCAGCCGACAGGGAGGGAACCTACACATGAACTAAATCGCGCCAACATCCCGCTGAAGAGCCGGAGTGAAAAGGAACTCGTTAAGGTGTGCAAAATCGCCCCCCCTGGTAAACCTGGACTACAGTCAAAGCCTCACGCCATTCAAGCGTGTGGGTATGACAGAAGTTGTCCCAAGCATCCAGCAAAAACATAGAGCAGTTCGCAAGCCAGGATGACTCTAGAACCTCATAACGAACACAGTATGGAGACAAAGACCCAAACCTGAAGGAAGATGGATCCATTATAGAGGCATGCACCGGGTCACGCATGAGGTAAGCTGCAAATGGCTGCCTGCACCTCGGCTGGAGAGATGCGGGAAACCGAAAATATCCGAAAGGACAGAACCGAAGGACCCGCACGAACACGGAACCGAACCCAGGGAGGAGCCGAACCTAAATCCAACTCGAACGCAGAGGGGGAAAGGAAAACCCCATCCTTGTAACAGCAAGCCCTGCTCGGAGGGTTGAAAAACTCAGGCAGGATCCAACAGGGCCCAAGGCCCCCATGTCAGCTCCTCCCCAATCCCGGGAACCTCCACGTCAAGCCCTAGGAGTAAGTCATCCACTAAAGCTCCGGCCTCACAAGAAAAAGCTTGGGCGGCCAGGATAGTAGGAAGAGGATGGGCCCACTGGTCAGACCCTGTAGCTACAGCTGGAGGAATGAACTCGAATGCCTCCGCAGCCACTGGAAGGGGCAACTCCAGAAACTGCCAGCGTCTCAGAAACCTCTAAACTCTGCCCCGATTCCAAAGCCCTCAGATGCTTAGGAACTAGAAGCAGGAAGGGGGGGGGGCAAATAAACCACAACAGGGGAAGAACGAGGGGGTGCAGACTGAACCAAGGCCGAAGAGACTAAAACCCCCAAGTCCGGGTCCCTATAAACAAAACGGGGCAGCCTTGGGGCATCCGGGGAAGCAACCAACTTAGCGCGCTGCAACAACCTAAACCTATCCTGCAATGCGCAAGCCGCCTGCACCTGAATAATGTCGTAATTAGATTGGGTGAACTGAATCACAAACAAGCAATAAAGCTAGCAGGATTCAGGGTCGATGGTGTCATCGACCCAACAGGCGGCATGACAGATGCAAAAACAATGATTGTCACCTTGAGACAAGGGGACAGAGCAACCCTCAAACTCGCAAAAAGAGAGAGGGGACTCAGAGGTCACATCCATTGGATTTGAGCTTTCCGCGGGGTTTCCCAGGGCCCCTAGACTGGGTCTGCTAAGGGTTATCCCAGGCAGGGTACTGCTAACCGGCGCCCAAACTACCAATCAACACTGCTAATGCTGAACCCCCCAGGACTTGTCCACTCACAAGGATAAAGCAGGGGGTACCACCAAACACAAACAACCCTAGTATAAAGAGGGAAGGAACACCAAGGAAGACCCCCCACCAGGCAAAAAGAAAAGAAAAACCTCGCAAGAGGACAGCATATCCAGAGGGAACAGAGTCAGTCGCTGTTCCCGGTGAAAACTAGCTGCACAGTACCCCGCACCCCTACCAGTGCAATAACTATTACTTACCCCAAGGCAAACTAGGGAGGAAACCCCCCAGAACTCTCTGGGCGGTCAATCGTCAAGCAGCAGAAGACCAATGGAGGTAGATCCAAAGTGACTTGTGGAAGAGAACCCCAAGCCCCAAGGGCGGTACTTACAATAGTACTTACAATTCAGGGAAGGTGACCCCTAAGCACATTCAGTCTGAGTACCTGTAAGTATTACTCCCAGCTTGCACACCACCATAAGAGCAGTACTGAACAGAGAACAGCACAGCAAAAGTCCAGAGCTGGAGCCACAACGACCAAGCAGTATCCCATCAGCCGAAGAACTGCGGTGTTGATCGCCAGCACGGGAATCTGGGGCTTCCCCTTCCCCCTCCCGGGGAGGGGAGAGTTGTGCAGAGGTGCAGCGCAGCTCATGTGACATCATGCTTGTTTGCTCGTTTTCATTTGGGGAGTTCTGTCCACTCATTTGTCTATTTTTATTATTTTCACCAGAATAGGGGGTTTGTTTTGGGGTGCTTACCTTTCTGGGTGCCTGTCCCGGTCGATGGGAGATATAGAATGCTCCACAATCACATGTGCATTTCTATAGGCCATTGCACCTCGTGCCTCTCTGAGGGGGCCAGGTTCTGGCCGTGGTCCCCGGTAGGCCTAGAACTCCACCCACATCGACTGATGCCAAAAAATTAGGACTATCCCAATCAGCCTGAATGGCTCCGGGGAGCCATAGGGACTCCCCCCAGAAAATATAATTTAGTGAATCTACAAAGAACTTGAACAAATCCTCCACGTCTTTGTGTTACAAAGAACTTTATTTGCTCTTCACATTATTTCTTAATAAAAAGTTGCACCTCAATTAGAGTAATATCACTAACCTGACTTCTGGTAATGTTAGCATCATCAACATCAATAGGGCGGTCTTGCCCAAGCACCCAGAAGGACTGCCCATGAAGGTGAATAGGATGGTTCTCATCTCCATATTGCCCTGAAAAGGAGAGTGCATATTATTATATTTTTATTAGAGAAGTGAAATGCTTCCTAATGATTCTGTAAAATTTTATGACATGATAGCAAAGATTAGACACGATCAAGCAAACAGGGAAACAGTGGGTTTACTGCATATTCTGGGGCTGCAAAAACATTGGATTTCATGTAATGACATGCCACTTCCTAGAGGGGGTGGGTGGGGGATGGGTTGCCTTAGTGGCTCCCTGTAGCTAGCCACACTGAGATAGCTCCACACAACTAAGTTACAACTAAGCTCTTGAGAGTCCTTAACAGCCTACCAGAGACTAAGTCATAACCTGGCCTCCCCTCAGAGGAGCAGGGATTTCATGATCACCTTCACTGCAGAAACAAACCTCCTCCAGAAAAGAAGTGACAAAAGAAGCGACAAAATAAAACAGACAACCGCAAGGTTCAGAGAGAGAGTAAACAATGCAGCAAATGAATTCCTCATTCGACCTTGATGACGAGCAAACGTCTTGACACCTGCTCTGTTTGGGACGGCCAGTGAAACGCATGATGCAGTTTTACTCTTTGGATCTCGATACTACCATCTGTCATTCCTAGTTGATGAACCAGATTGTTATGATGCCTGGTACACTTCCCTGCCACAGATGGAAGACCTGCAGAGGTTTGAATACAGTGTAGTACAGTATGAGACTGTACAGAATGACACTGAGACTGATGGATGCCTACTACTACTACTAGTACAATATTTAGGTACAATAGTATGTTCAGAAAGGCTGACATATTAGTAATTGAGATTAGACAGACTAATGATGACAATACAAAGCAGTGGTGAGGGGAACAAAAATATAATGTTATACTATTACTACTGTACACAGTATTAGGTGTCTTATATAAGCTTAAATAATTTGAATATCAACTGTGTAAAAACCTCTCAATTAAAATTAGGACCAATATCTGATGACATCAAGACTTAAATTTTAATTTAATATCAAACCTCAATCATTATAAACATTAATGTAAAAAACACAATTATTATATAATGAAAGAAAAGAACATCCAAATTCTGACCTTCATCAATCATCACCAAGTCAACAATTGACCCCAGGGGAATGGTATACATATGGAGGCACTCGCAGTAATCATCATTGCAGTTCTTGGCAGGCGGTTGAAAGTCTGCATTACAGACTTGCTCCCCCTCATTTTCACCAGTAAGGATCAAAGGACTAGCTGGATGCACGAAGGAGATGTTGTTGATCTGGGGTGTTGGGATTTGCTGGCTATCTTCAACTGTAAGTAAATATTAAGGATAATAGATGATGAGTCACAATAAAATAGCTAAATATATGATGTCCAAACCATACATCAGAAAATCAAGAAATTGATATTTTGGTCCCATTATACACCTTGATAACTGTCCAGGATGGACCAAAATTGATTAATTTATTTATTTATTTTCTGATGTGTGGTTTGGATATCATATTAAGAATAATCAAAGTATGATTAGAAAGTCTACGATTTAATGCAATAATGAATAAAATAAGTCTACGAGAGTACTGTGTATATATAATGTCAAAATATATATAACTTGTTTTATTTAGCCATGACAGTATCACAGAAGAGCCTGAGTGTGATAATGACAGTACAATGTTCAAATATTAGTGATTCAATGTTGTTCACGATGTTCACAGCGCTAGCCACAGCACCATAGCATTATTTCGTCCATCTAGGAATCTTCAAATGACTTCTTAGGTTCTTTACAAAATAAACTTGTGGTCAATTATGTATTTACAGGATTTAGTGACCAGTATTGTGGTGATAATAAGCACTGTGCGTAGTATTGTGGGAGGAGTAATTGTGGTGAGGGAGCGAGGGAGAGAATCGAGGTAGCCTCACTGTGTGTGTGGCAGCCACTCTTGTTTTGCTCATCATACTAGCTTAGTGGTTCGCTATGGTGAACATATTTGTACATGGGTATATACAATGTGTGTGTATATAGTGTAGTAACAGCAACAGGAGTATGTTGGGAGGAGCTATTTTGGTGAGGGAGGTGACATAATCGTAGCGTCGTTTGCTGGCTGCTGTGTGATTTCTCATGTAGTGTATGGTGGCCACTGTAAAGTTTGGACATAATACCAGCTTACTTGCATAGTTCTGGTGAATAAAACATGTAGATAGGTATACATAACATGTGTAAATAGTGTAATACAAACAATAACAGTATGGTGGGAGGAGCAATGTTGGCGAGTAAGATGTTGGAGGAGTGAGGGAGAGACTGGATGTTGGAGGAGTGAGGGTGTGGCAGCTGACACTCTCGGAGTTGTGAATGTATATAGTGTGCGATAGTGTATAATGTGTAAATAGATTGTATATATACATAAATTAGCATAATACAATGGAAATATGTGCCGGATATGTGTACACGTGTCATACACGTAACAGTGTCTTCGGACACTGTTACGTGTATGCTCTATGCCATAATATAGTGTACATGTTGATTATACATAGGATTGGCACGTAAAAGCATATAAAATGTATTTGGAACTGTGCGCAGAAAATGAACAAAAATATATTCGCGGCAACTCGCGCATCCAGCCCCGAGTGCCCTACCGGCCCCAGGGGCGTATACCACGGGCGACCAGGGAATGATGACATCACGCACAAATTTACGGACCCCGTAGCAGCTAAAGTACTTACAATTTCGACCTTCTGTTACTATACCCTTACTCAGGGAAGGGTTTTTGACTTTAAAAACAGAAAGAATTTTTTCTAGAGATTTTATTTCCTGCGCACTGGGGGGTATCATATTTGAAGGCTGCGCAGTTAAGGGGTTAAAAACAACAAGAACGCGCAGATGGTGGCGCGGCGACGTGTGACATCATAATCGTTTGCTCGTTTCTGTTTGGGGATTTCTATCCGCTAGTTCGGCTTTTTGTAGCAATTTTCACCAGAATACGGGTTTGTTTTGGGACGCCTACCTTTCTGGGTGCCTAACCCAGTCGATGGCAGACATAGAATGCTTCCAACCACATGGGGGTTTCTATAGGCCATTGCTCCTCGTGCCTCTGCGAGGGGACCAGGTTCCAGCAGGCTCACAGAACTCCATACACATGACCGATGCCAAAATCTGACATTAGCATATCAGCCTGTATAGCTCCAGGGAGCCTCCGGGACTTGCCCCGAAAATGGCGTTTCATTACATTCAACGCTGGTTTTTTTACTATCAATAAATTGAAGAAGACTTCAAACTTACCTAAATCAAAATTATAATAAATTTTGGAGTAGAAGTGAGCATTATGTATCCTGCGCATTTCAAAAGCTAGATAAATGGTGAAGTTTGCCCTTGGAACGTTCACTTCCTGTGGTAATGGGTTTGGTGATCTCAGGTGGGCCACACATACGAGGTCTTCATAGCACGCACTATTAATACTGTTGACTTGCTGCAGGGAAATAGTTTGTATTAGCTGATGATTACACAGACATTACGTATATTCAAATAAGGTCTAAATGGCATAGAAAATTCAATAATGGAAAAAAGACTATATGCTTTCCCTATCTAATCCTGGTGGATTCCTTCCCTCTGTGAAAGTACGAAACAGGATAATGCTGATTGCAATAATAACAAGCAGACACTAAAACAAAGCCAAGACCTCCACAACATAGGAGCAGTCACACAAGACATAAAGCTTAGATAATTACAAGACAAATTACTTGGTAATGAGTAACAATTTTAGCACATAACTGAAATTTGAAATTTTTTGAAAAACTGCCAATATGAGAATAAAAATATAAATTACAGTATTTAACATTTACAGGTACTCAACTATTCATTAACATTGTGGGTTTTTAAGACTAATATGCTCTCATTTGTATATTAAGTATCTTAATGTAACATAAGTAGAACAATAAAGGAAACTACAGAAGGCCTTCTGACCTATGGCTACACACACACACAGAAACATGCAGTCTGAAATATACAAGTATATTAGATTTATAAATATAATTTAAAACAATGATAGTTCTTCATATATATCTTTGGGAATACTCACAACTCCCTTAGGTGGAACTTCAGTGAACTTTGGCTTAGGTGGCATGTCACGAAGCAATGCGAGATCATCAATGTACTCTTGCCGAGTATTAAATTTGCCCTTAACTACAGGGCTTTGAGACTCGTACACTACACTACTCGGAGTCTCGTATTCCAAAAGAGCAAACTGGTGAGCTTCTGTTTCTGCGCAGTCAACGCCTCCCATGAAGCTCATCCAGAATGTTCCAGATCTGCCGACACCAGCGTCAACCACAACGTCCCACCGCTCACCTGCATGTCACAATAGGAGCACACGATTAAGCCTGGTATTTTACTGCCTTAGTATGTTAATCTACTGATCAAGGCATGAATGATAGATACAGCACTCCACAACAATTATACAAAATACAGTCACATCACTTAACTGGTAAATAAACCTCTCAGTTGCTATGTTAGCACCTTACTTGGCATACCATATTTACCCACTATTACACATCTCCCAGCATGGTCTTCAAATGTCTACATTAGAATTTATCTAAATGAACAGTTACAGATTCCCATTGTTTAAACTTTTATTACCTCTAGTGATAAGGTGCTCTTTATTATTAAACACAGTACAGTGATATAGTACTCGATTTTACTATGATAAATGTTCGTTAGTTGCTGTGCCATCAAATAAACAATAATTCCTAAGCTACTGCATTCTGTTGCCCCCTTAAAGTAAGATCCGTAGTATCCTCTAAACAAAGATCTTTGAGGGTCAGGCAGGAGGCATCCTTGGCACCAGTACAACACTGAACTTCCCAAATAGTCTCTGCATGGTTGTTAATGGTACTAGGGAAGGTTATTTGATCTAAGCTTATACCAGTCTAGAATGACTCACATCAGTGCACTCCATTCAAACTCAAATACTATACATGCGTTTTCCATTGTGACTACGAAATGTGTCCATCAAACAACCCATTTTCTGCTTCAAGTACGGTTTGTTCTGCTCTTCATTCAGGAGTTTGGATGAAATTACTCTTTTAAAAGTTTCCTCTTTTCTGCCTGCTTGCTCAGAAGGCCTCATGGAACCTCAAGTTTTTCTATCATAGCAACATGGTCCACATTTTAGAATTGGAACATACTCAATTTCAGTTAAGGTCTATTGTTGCTATACATATGTATTGCTAAGTCCCTGATTCCTCCTGGCTGGTTAAGAGCACAACCTTATTATCCTTGGGAAAATATAAATTCTGTTGTCAAAGGTGTTCAAGTGAAAGGAAGTGTTTCCTAACTTCATTGTTACACATTCAGGGGAAACATTTGGATTTTACAGACAGTGCACATTTTATGCAAGGCAGCAGTTTTGCATCTCATGTTCAGTTTCCCTCTTGCTGCAATACCTCATTGCAAAACACTTGAGGGGATGTTCTTGCCTGACCCATGTCTTGAAAGATTTTGACAGGAACCTTTTTTTTTTATTCCTCTCAGCTGCTGGTGGAGATCTCTAAGGTTTCTGTTCTGCAACTCACCCATGTGTTTGCATCTTTCCTTTTAATATTTCAGAATTATTTGTGATCAGAAAAGATGCCTGTCAGTAGTAATAGTCAGGCCCAAACCAGGTAGGAAGAAGAAGAGGTATCTTGATATGGACTAAAAGTTTAAACTTGATATTTTACAGTATAAGTCTCCGTGGCGTAGTGGTTAAGTCGCTCACCTGGCGTTTCGCGAGCGCTTTGTCCTGGGTACGTATCCTGGCCCGGGAAGGATTCACTGGGCACAAATCCTTAACTGTAGCCTCTGTTTAACTTAACAGTAAAAGGGTACTTGGTTGTAAAAACGATTCTTCTCGGGGGGTCGTATTCCAGGGAACATAGGATTAAGGACTTGACCGAAACGCTAAGCTTACTTGTGGCTGTACAAGAATGTAAGAGTTCTTGTATATATAAATCAAAAAAATTAATAAAATAAACAAATATAAAAACTTATAAACATTGGTTGATAAATAGCCAAAAATGGGTTCAGCACAAATTACTTTGGTGTAACACCAAAAATCCAAACTTTATATTTTATCTTTAATAACATAGTCACATTTACCAGTAATCCTCAACATAAACAGTCAACACTAACCTGGATAAACTACCAAGGAAGTAGCATTAAGAGGCACTATTGGGTATCCATCAGAAGCAATAACGGTCAGCACGTGCTGATCAATAGCCACTACGATGGGGCAGTTGAGAACGGCAGTGTTGATCAGTCGCATACGGTATCTGTTACCTGTGAACCACAAGTGGCCAAATTGTGATGAGCTAATTTTTGGAAGCATGAGATATGTTATACAGCAGGAATAACACCCGCTAATGCTGATACAATTTATTCTCTCTTGAATCATAAGAATTTTAGTTTGTTTATTGGATTCTGATTATTATTTGAGTGGAGACGTACAAGAGAAAAATTTAAAGCAGCACAGCCTCACTCAAAGATAACCCTTGGTGGCTTGGTGAGTGTGGTTCAAGAGGTATTATTTAACTAATATGGAATGTAATTTTGCCCATAATCACTTGCAAAATATATAATTTCATGTCCTGGCTCTTTAAAATTCTCCTCATGTATGATATCCTCATTCATTTGATTTGCCCTATTTTTTAAACTGTCCAATCAGTGATCAACTTCAGTGTAAAAAGACTTACCTGGTGTGACTTTGAATCTTTTATATGGAATTAAAGTTGAGAGTAATGTGGCATTCATATGCTGAAAGAAAAGCACATTTTACAGTATGAATAAGGATTAACCAGTGCACTGAAACACCTATACTACAGCAAGATAGTTTGTAGTTTAATATACAGTACTGTATTCAAATTGTGTTGAAGAAAATATACTCTTAAATATAATTATAAAACGTTATGACATTAATTATTAGTTCCAAACTTAAATTCTTGCATCAAAATTTGAAATTTATCATAGAAAATAATAATATACAGCAATATTAAGAAGAACAGAATTTCCCAGCCTCTAAATCCTCAACCAGTTGAGCATGGTTGGAACAATTTAAGTGAGGAAGTAGTACCAAAAACCATTACTAGTTTCAGTGTCATATGACAAAGATTATAGAGAAGCTCTGACACCACAAGTGTTACTCACAGCCTGTAACAACATTTAGGTAATTATCCACATGCACACACACACACACACACTGTGTGTGTGTGTGTCAGTAGTAGTCAGTAGTTTCAAAGCGTTATATGACAAAGAGTGCTGGCAAAAATGACATGTAATTATTGTAATATCAAATCCAACTCTATAATTAAAAAAAAAAAAAAAAATATGGAGTGGTAGAAGAGCAAAAATCACAAATTCTGAGGCAAATTATTAGATTTTCTCTGAATGATCTCTTCTGTATACATAAATACTGAACTTGGGAGGATTTTGAGTGTTTATTGAATGAACTTTCTGGATGTCAATTTAGGTTAGGCAGAATTTCTCCAGGGGTCTCCCAAGTACCAGTGCTAGTATGACCTGACAGGGACATTTAAAAAAATCCCAGTTATGCGGGTGCAGATTGTCATCTTGCCCTGCATGAGCATGATCCTGGCTAGTGGTATCAGAAAGGATCTTGCCTTAGAGAGTAACTGTGTGAGATAGTATGCTTAAGTAGGACACTGAGAAACAAGTCCAAAAATCCACCACTAACCTGATGAGGACCTTGACCATTCACCAGCATCGAATTGGGAAAATCATCATCACCTCCATGATGTCTGAGAACAAATTTATCCTGTGTGGGGATGTGTAACCAGTCATGGAACTGTAGAAAGAATAATTCTATGGTTAGAACATTATTGCTTGTTTAAGACACATTTAAATTATCATAATATTTTAGAGTTGCATTTGTTATTTTGTCATGACTATTATCCAAGAATAGTGGTATATTTTCATCCTAGTAAATAAAGTAAGTACACTACAGTATTTTAATGAAAATGTAAATTTTTTTGTCATATACCAATATTGATTTCAAATTTGTACAAGAAGGTAGATCAAAATAATATTTATAAAATTTACAAATTAATAATTAAAGTTCAAGTATAGTAAGTATAGTCCTGCAAAACAATTCAAAGGTAAACAGCTAACAGCATGGAAGCTACCATACAATGACATACCAAAATCACATGTTCAGGAAGGTCGTAATCAAAGGTGTTATGATTCTGGTCCAGTGCCGGAGGCTGCCTCACAATAAGAGCACCAAAGGCACCATCGGCTCGTTGAAATCCTGTAAAGATGTGTAATATCTATTAATATTCAATAACTGGTTAACTAAATAACTGTATATCTTTGAAGATGGTTCTTTCTATGAACATCTTACCATCTTTTTTATATGCTCGACAATGGCATAGATATGATTAAACTTTACCTTTCATTTCTTCATTTCATCAACTGATATTTAGTGAATAATGCACCCATGTTTACATGTTGAATACTATATCTTTCTCCTGAACAGTAAATTGTGTAAATATTGAATCCATTCATAAGAGGGTGTATTGTACATATTTTTTCTTATAGAAGTACTGTGCAAAATCAACAACAATAAAATAATGGTAAATGTTTCTTAGCACAGTATTTAAAGTATTACAGTACTTGCAATGGAAGGGAAATCAGGTACCATTCTGATAAAATATACCTAAAATAAACAGAAATTTTAATATAGCTTGACCGATGCCCTGGATGTTGGGGAAGGAGGAGGTAAACTTTCCCCACAGTAGTCAGAAGACCTTGAATTGTCATCTTAATTTTTCATCACACTAATAGTATCATTAAAATTTTATGTACAGCACTGTACTGTAGTACTACCCTATGTTATTTTTTGGCCTATCAGTAAGCTCTTACGACTCTCAAACTCACACCTTTTTGGGAAACTTTCATGTTGAAATATGAGTGGAGTTTCATGTTGGCACTCACAAATATACCTAAGTGAAAGAAGGGTAAACAGGTGGGTGAGTTGCGTGCCTTCTTGACTGTGATGAGGATTGAGCTCGAAGGGTAAGTCAGAAGTCAGTGGCACTAAGTATGCAATTGTATACAGTACTACGATATTGATCTGACTTTAGCAGAACTAATTACTGCATGCAATCATCATGAAGGATCTTAAGTGCTAGAAAGAGATTAATTACTGCTAATATAATAAGATATATTGTAAATAAAAGAAGAAATTTGACAAGAATGGTCATGTAGTGGAATAAGAAATGGATTGAACATCATCATCTCTATGGATTTCAGTTACTGAAGGATGTAGTGGAAAGAAACAACAGAGAGGAAGATGCATGATTAGCACGTTTGAAGAATTTTCATTATGATTATGTATAAGTGAAGCAATTAGTAGCCCCATGGTGGAGCCCTAAGATTTAGCCCCAAGGTGTAGATCCAAGGTGGAACACCAAGGTGTAGCCTCATGTTGAAACACCAAGGTATAGCCTCATGTTGAAACACCAAGGTATAGCCTCATGTTGGAACACCAAGGTGTAACCTCATGTTGGAACGCCAAGGTGTAGCATAAAGGTGGAACAACAAGGTGTAGCCTCATGTTGGAACACCAAGGTGTAGCCTCATGTTGGAACACCAAGGTGTAGCCTCATGTTGGAACACCAAGGTGTAGCCTCATGTTGGAACACCAAGGTGTAGCCTCATGTTGGAACACCAAGGTGTAGCCTCATGTTGGAACACCAAGGTGTAGCCTCAAGATGGAACACCAAGGTGTAGCCTCAAGGTGGAACACCAAGGAGGAACACCAAGGTGTAGCCTCATGTTGGAACACCAAGGAGGAACACCAAGGTGTAGCCTCATGTTGGAACACCAAGGTATAGCCTCATGTTGGAACACCAAGGAGGAACACCAAGGTATAGCCTCATGTTGGAATACCAAGGAGGAACACCAAGGTATAGCCTCATGTTGGAACATCAAGGAGGAACACCAAGGTGTAGCCTCATGTTGGAACACCAAGGTGTAACCTCATGCTGGAACACCAAGGTGTAGCCTCATGCTGGAACACCAAGGTGTAGCCTCACGTTGGAACACCAAGGTGTAACCTCATGTTGGAACACCAAGGTGTAACCTCATGTTGGAACACCAAGGTGTAGCCTCATGCTGGAACACCAAGGTGTAGCCTCACGTTGGAACACCAAGGTGTAGCCTCATGTTGGAACACCAAGGTGTAACCTCATGTTGGAACACCAAGGTGTAGCCTCATGCTGGAACACCACGGTGTAGCCTCATGTTAGATCACCAAGGTATAGCCCCAAGGCCGACTAGCAACATTGAATACTAAGGTGGAGCAGCACCCAATAATGGCAACAGCAATACCATTACTTGCTCATTGCTGCATTTAGGAATTTGCCAAATTACTGTATTTTTTGAGTATATTAAAAATGGTCTTGTAAACATTTTGATATTAAAGGCAAGTCATAAATTTTATTCTTTTTAACCATTTGACCAGATATTCTGAAATGAGTACAGTAGTACTGAACTGTAATATAAGGGTTATCCTCATTTATCAGTGAGTAAATTAAAGTATGTACAGTGTATACTAAAAATAGGCTTTTAAAAAGTTACATAAAACCGTATAGATATTATAGTATTGGCCTTGTGGTTCTCAGTGGCATGCTGAGTTGTGGTAAACTTAGTAAACTAAAGTAAACTGGTTCTCGGTGTATAACTGGACACAGAGACATATTAGATACAGCATTAATCGTCTAGAAAGGAAAACCCACCTGTGTGTGAGTGGTAGAAGTGAGTGCCCGGCTCGGAGGCATAGAACGTGTATCTGAAAGATGTCCCAGAATGAATGGGACACTGTGTGACGCCGGGAACTCCATCCATATGAGGCGTTCCCGGAGTTCGAACTCCATAAGAGTTAATGGGTCCCTGCATGGTTATACCATGCCAGTGCATTGTTATACTCTCATCATGTAATGAGTTTTTGACATCCACCACTATGCGATCACCCAGGCATACCTGTAAATATACACATTATAATTTTGCTTTAATTGGTTAAAAAGTGTATGGACAACATATGTTGATAAAGCTAATAAAACTGTGAATAAATAGTTGCCAACTTACTGTACCAATCTTAACAGCAATAGCGTTTTTCAACATGTGACTAAGATATAAAACACTCATTAGCTTAACATTACTCTTAACACTTATTTTCAATGAACAGCAGAAAATAACTACTATCATTTAAGTCACACACGTCTTCAATAATCCTACCCATAATGTATTATAAACCATTGTATGTAATGCATGTATCTGGCCATCCTCAGGGTAAAGTGATTATAGGAATGGCCGCCCTTCCAGGCTCAACACTGATATGTATTTGATATTACCACTGATATTATACTGATATTATATTTGACACTGATATTATATTACACTGATATTATATTTGCACTGATATTATATTATATTTGCACTGATATTATATTATATTTGCACTGATATTATATTTGCGATGCTCTGAAGACTTAGTAAGATTCCAATTATATTATTTTTTTATAAACTGGCAAGTGAACTTTTATAAAATATTCTCAAATTATATCTGTATTGTATTAGAATGCCAGGGGTTTACAATAAAAACATGTGTTATAATCTTATTTTGATCAGCTCCAAAGCAAAAGTTTTCTTTAGTATCAAGTTCAAGTTCAAGTATGTTTATTGAGACAAGAAAAAAATACATCTCAAAGGGATAGAGTAGCTTAGGCTATTTCTACCCCCCTCTACTTCAAGTCCCTCAAGGGGCGCACAAATTCAGTGAGTACAGATACACAAATCACAATACAACATTTAACATTGCATATTAATATAGTAAGTGTTACAATCATTGGGGCAAAATTCTTGTAGTTCCTAAGTATTCTGTCTATCATATCATTATCACACATCCAAACAATTTGAAGTGGTACACTACTTATTTCCTTATTTCTATGGTTATCCATAATTTGACACTTTAATACATAATGGTCTTCCAAGTTCAAGTAGGTTTATTGAGACAAGTTAAAAAAAAAAAAAAAAAAAAAAAAAAAAAAAAAAAAAAAAAAAAATCAAAGATTAGCTTAGGCTATTTCTACCCCTTCCCATACTTCAAGTCCCTCAAGGGGCGCACAAATTCAGTGAGTACAAGTACAAGAATCCCATGTAACATATCAGGTTAATATAGTACTATCTAAGAGTATAATAGTGTACATCCACCGCACTAGATTTTAACCCATTAACGCTCCAAGATAATATTCTCACTCTACTTTCATCCATGATTTAATAAAACTACCTTTGCCCTGTCTGTCACATTCCATGAGATACGAGATTTTCTCAGACAGACTCTCCCAACACTGTAACATTTCTGCTTTCTCCTCATTTGCACAACAGCTACTAGCATCAAAGGTGATCTTATTCATATCTAATTTCTTTCTTATTTCTCTATACCGTTTTACTTTAACCTTTGTTTCGACATTTGTCACTACAGAAGGTTGAACGCTAACACTACTAGAAAGTTCATTTTCCTGACTATCCTCTATCATCAATACGTCATGTTCTTCCTTACTTTCTTCAACGCACATTTCACGTCCTGTTTCACTTTCCACTTCACGTCCTATTTCACTTTCCATTTCACGTCCTGTTTGACTTTCCATTTCACGTCCTGTTTCACTTTCCATTTCACGTCCTGTTTCACTTTCCATTTCACGTCCTGTTTGGCTTTTCATTTCACGTCCTGTTTGGCTTTCCATTTCACGTCCTGTTTGGCTTTCCATTTCACGTCCTGTTTGGCTTTCCATTTCACGTCCTGTTTCACTTTCCATTTCACGTCCTGTTTCACTTTCCATTTCACGTCCTGTTTCACTTTCCACTTCACGTCCTGTTTCACCACCATCTTCACCCCGTCTACCCCCCATAGTTAATTTTTCTAATGCCTCAATCCTCTTTTCTAGTTTTTTTAGATATTCCAATATTTGAGTACCAACCTCAGAGTTCACTATATTGACCTGAACCTTGTTTCCACAAGGTTTAATTTTTTCAGCTGCATTTCCTACTTTCCCTAGGCTCGCCTTAATTGTCTCTGTTCCTTTCTCCCACACATTGTTCATAGGCGCTGTCATTGGCTTCCAACTGTTTCCTCCATGTTCCTGCTGCACAATCTTTCCTTCCTTCGAGGATACATCTATCCTGCTTGTAGCACCCGTCCTCGAGTCTCTCAGATGAGGCTTCATGCGACATAGATAGGAACCAGCATTGTGGCTTCCTCGACAATTGCAACAAGATGGGACGATTTTTTCACCGTTTTTAATCTTGACTCTACACTCTCGAGAGTCGTGTTTCTTACCACAGTACCGACACCTGGAGTCAAACTGGCATTTCCAAGCCATATGTCCCCAACGAGAACACTTCATGCATAATATGGGCTCCTCAATGTATTTTACAACTTTCCTGTAGCCTAGTCCTTGCACAAAAATTCTTTCTGGAGCCTCACCCTTTACCAAGGCAACAACCTGGCTTTGTTTTTCACCACGAACACTGTTCCTCTTTGCCCAAACAACACTATCATTGTTGAGCAATAGATAATCAGGATCCAAATAAGTTGGATACTTAAACACTATGACCTTGGTGTACATCATACCTTTTTCCGGAGTAACCATCACAATATTCTCAAACCCATCCTTCGTTAGGTGTTCCACGGCCTCCTCTGTCCCAACTGTTATATAGGGCCGGTGAAGACCCTCCTTGAATAGTGGTTCATATTCAAAAAACTCCTTAGCCAAACGAACCGTCCACTCCAGCTTTTGATGGAAATTCAGTTGACATGCTGTAGGGAACAACAGCCTCTTCCTTCCATTAGTCTGCATCTCCCGCGTCCTGCTGAGCATGTCTTCATTTTTTGGTCTCTTTGTTATTTCCTCCTCACTGTCTTCGTCTCGCTGTCTTTGAATATTTCTCCGTTTATATCTGTTTACTACTGCTTGATACGGCCTAGTATCATCCTGTCTGCCATCCCCACTGTCACACTCTCCAGGCCCAGTACAGGATCTTCCATCACCTAGGCAGACCGCCTCAGCCATTTCCTCGATACACAAAGGCACTGTATCACTGCAACAGTCGAGAACAAATTCACAACATCTAGCTGCAGCAGCCACGTGCAAACACGAAGATGCGGAGCAACACGCCCTCCTCGCATCATGCAGCAGACCGCACTCTTCTTTAGTATCAAATTCTAGGGAACACTCAAACAGTTTTTGACTTGTAGCTGGCACGTCAATAGATTGACTTTCTATCTATAAGCTGGTGTCCCCAGAATCTCAGCTCCCTTGATTTTCAACACATTTCAGCTGTTTGAAGGTGTTAACTGAAACTATTAATCTTAAATAAATCAAAGTTATCCCCCAACTTTATCCTCATGACAAATTTTCAAGTATTTCAATGGTTGAATATTAAGATAAACTGACGTCAAACATTTCCTCTTAACATGCTGTAGTTTTTCCCGTTTAAGTTAATGTTGGCCATAGACTATTGCTTTGATATTGTTCACATTCAGATCATCTTAGATCACGAAGTTGTTCACTGTGAAAGTAGCCTACGCATATATGACTATCCTATAGCCTATATATCATTCCTAGGCCAAGATATTCCCTGTTATCCCTGCTAGGCCGCCATTGTATAAATTATATGACTTTAATCAGCTAGCATGAAAACGTTTGAAGTACAGGTGTAAAAGACCAATGCAGACGAGTCAAGTGAAGCAGTGACCAATATTGCCAGTCACGGTGACTTTTTTTTGTTGAGCAGGATTATAGAGAACATGAGACACAATTGAAGGTTAAATACCTCCAGATATTTCGCTTCTCATCTGATGACGTACAGAAGCTTTAATCACGTGGAAAAGAATAATTCGATGTGCATAATGTATATGGAATCTCCTGGGCCTGCATGGATACTGCCTGTTGTACTGGCTGGTCCTTGCTCTCACACCATTTGATAACCCCGTTCCTGCTGAGTGCGTCAGTCCTTGGTGAACGTGTTACTTGCCTTTATGGTAAATATGAACATTAACTTATTATAGTTAAAATAAAAGCCAACGTCCACGACTGCCCGCCCTCTTCCTCTCTCTCATACGCTGTTTATATTTGTATTTTTTTGTCCTGTTATTTGCAGGTTCAATAAATTTAGAGAGAGTTTTCCTATTCCTCATCCGAGATAAAAGAATTCCAGTAAATGTTACATATCGCGCTGGTTGAAGGACACGCACGCGTACGCACGCACGCACGCACACACACATATACCTACCTTGCCTTGAGGTTACCTTGAGGTGCTTCCGGGGCTTAGCGTCCCCGCGGCCCGGTTGTCGACCAGGCCTCCTGGATACCATACATATACATATATATATATATATATATATATATATATATATATATATATATATATATATATATATATATATATATATATATATATATATATATATATATGCGAACAGGCCTGAATGGTCCCCAGGACAATATGCAACTGAAAACTGAAATATATTTTATATATATATATATATATATATATATATATATATATATATATATATATATATATATATATATATATATATATATATATATATATATATATATATATATATATATATATATATATATATATATATATATATATATATATATATATATATATATATATATATATATATATATATATATATATATATATATATATATATATATATATATATATATATATATATATATATATATACATATATATATGAATGAAAACTCACACCCCAGAAGTGACTCGAACCCATACTCCCAGAAGCAACGCAACTGGTAACTACAGGGCGCCTTAATCCGCTTGACCATCACGGCCGTCAAAAGGAAGTGATAGCCGAGGCTATTTGAGCCACTTCCCCGACGGCAACTCGAATGGTAATCTTGGGCATAGCATTTCACCAAATCACCTCATTCTTTGGGGCA